TCACGTGATGAAGCCATAAGCTGTGGCATGTATGGAGCATCTGCATATTCTTCTGAATTATCCTGCTTTTTATTGAATGCATATGCAGGATTTTTACATGAAGGAACAATTCCCTCCCATACTGTCATATTTTTTAGTAAGCGATGTTGTCTGTCAGGATCACTTTGCCTTTCTAAAAATACTATTTCCCCTTCAGGAGGCTCAACTATTACTTCTTTTACTTCGTATGCCCCTGTAGCCTTGGTTTCCCCTTTTTCATGATAAATTGATCGAAAATGTTCCCCTGAAGCATACTCCTTTTGTGCTTCATATTCTTGCCTTTCAGCTAATGAAAGGTTTTCTATCATTTTTAACCTATTTTTTTCATTTTCTTCCTTTATCTCTGCTAATATCGGAAGTCTAGCTTCATCAGAATCATGTTGTTCCTGATCCCATTTTTCGGCCTCTTCATTAGTAATAAATCTCCTACCACTTGGGTCTACAAATACTGTTTTAAATTGCTTTGTATTTATACGAGGTGTTAGCTTTCGTTACTTTTCTTCTCTATGTGCTTAGGTAGCTGGACCAGGACCCGCTTCCGGATCATGAATATTCTCATTGACCATATCCACTGGCGGGTTAATAGTTTTTTGGATAGACTCTGTAACAACTACTTTCGGTCTAGGACGAGGTTTTCTTTTTCGACAGGGAAATTTTCTTTTTAAGTGTGCAGTTCAATCACGAGACTTTTTAAAGTCATCTTTACCACATCTGGGGCATGGTGGTATCATTTTAATATATGTGTATATTTTATGATGTTTGTATTAATAGTACGAAAACTTTAGTTCAAAAATAAATAATTATTTCGGATGTATATATTTTTTACCTCCTGAGCGTCTTGTCGCTCAACCACGCTAGGTTCCCGAGGGGTTTTCTGGCTTCGAATTTATGAGAAGGCGGGGATGCTTTGAACATTGGAAGGCTAAGAAGCGTCTTCCTTGCAAGGTTTGTAGTAAGCCAACTAGCTCTGAACCTGG